CTTTAACATAAAGGTCTTGTTAGTGGGCATTTCCTTTTAGAGCCATTTGAGTTCCTTTTTGAAAAGGGACATGCCCTAACCCCCACTCTCACAAAAGGTGTACCTTTAAACGTCTACTATTGGTTTCAAAGTTGAAACCTCAATAGCCATTATTGAATTTAAAATTAATAAAATATGTGGATAGGGGAACAAAATATCACCATTAGTCTAATGGATAATTGAATTTGATCCACTAATGATCCCAAGCTTTTTCTTTTTGGGTGTGAGGTGGGTTTGAGCCTTGTTAAACCTCTATTGAATATTTGTCATTATGTGAATATAAGTATTCTTTTTATTTTATTTAAGAAAAAAATATGTATGTGCTGGTAAAGATTAAAAATCTTCTGTTCGATTTTTTTATTATTCTGTCTTAAACACCCTCTCTATTATGAAATCTATTTCTTTAACTTTGATATTGTAGTAGAAAAGGTTGAGGATCCTCTATCTCACTCTCATCTGTCATTCTGTCTTAAACACTCTATCAATTATATGATCAATTTATTTGACTTTGATCTTGTGATAAAGAAAAATTTGAGACGGAAAAATATAAAAGAATATGAAAGAGAGTCTCATTCCAAATATAAGCCCCTCAAATGAAGAAGACAAATAATTAATAAGGTGGTCTTCCTTCGTAAATATTGACCTGTTTTCTTGGTGTATTCCGTGGGGTTGGCCTTGTGAAATCTCTATATATCTCATTGTATGAATATTGTGAATACTTAATTTTTAGTTGAAAATATATTTATGTGTTAAAATTGATAACAGAGAAATTTGTAAACGCATTTAGAAGCACCCAATAAAAAAGAGAGTCAACATTATATCATCTATGCCCCTCATAGCCGATGTGAGCTCTTTAGGTGACCATTAAATTAGTGCATTGCTTGTTGCAACCTATTAAGGATATTTATAATTTATTTTATTTTAAAAATCCGCATTAGTGTTTGATTTAGCTTTTGCTTTTCATCTATGAGACAAAAAATAACTTCAATAAGTTACCTTTTTTTTTGTTCCTTGAAATACTCGTTCTCTTGTTGTGTTCTAAATATCAAGTTTTAACAAAAACTAAGTTATATTGACTAAAAATTAAAACACATCACATAATTAATGAAATATAAAGTTAAAAAGAATTCTAATATGTCATTGTCAAATTTTTTCATCGACTATTGAAATCATTAGTACATTAAAACATTCTCTCACCTCATTAAAATTTTAAAATCGTTCATCTTAATTTAGATTTCATCTTATATTTTTTGTAATTATCCATCAATTTATTATGTCTTTCTCTCTCACCTTATTTTTAGATTTTATTTATCACGGCACGTATCACCATTATATTAGTAAAGAAAATGCTATATAAATAAAATTTGTATATAAAAAAATTATATAGAAATATATGTTTCATTTATATCTATTTATTAAAAGCCAAATCACTTTGTAATTAATAAGTGGAGTTATTATCTAATAGGTTTTATAGAAAAAAAATTTGTCATAAAAAAGTCACTAATTATAAGTTTTAGCGACAATTTATAAAAATCATAACTAAAAAAGTCATTAATTGTCAATTTTTAGCGACATATATAAAAAATTGTCACATGCATTAGAATTCAGACACTCTAACATCATGCATTTTTTCTTCTTCTTCTTTTTTTTTTTTTTTTTTTTTTTTCTATCTTTGCTCTCTTACTGTTCTTTAACAAAAACAACAATTTAAATTATTTGTTTGCACTTCATTAATCATTTTCTAAATAAACTGTGTGAACTGAATTCAAGACAAAGAATAGTAAATCTTGGTGATACGTTTGGGACGAATCTGAAATTGTCAAAAAATTAGCAGTTTGATCGGTAAAAGAATAGAGTTTTATGCGTGTAATCTTTCAAAGCACCCATTTCGGACAAAAATGAGACTTTTTAAACTTTTTTAAGTCATATCACTTCTCTAATTTTTTTACATATTTTTTTTAAATAAATAAATAAAAAGTCAACTTTTAGCCTACTTTCAAAACATGTGGTGGTTTACCAAATAAAATTATCTAAAAATAAAAAATATTGCTTAGAATATTGAAAAAAATTGGTAAAAATAAAAAATATGAAAAATAAAAAATTTTAATTTTTGAAAAAATGATTCTTGAAGATCCAAACCAAACAAGTTGAATAGAATTTATCGTTATTCAGGGAGTGAATCTTGAGCCGTTTGCATCACTTGTGAGTATGAAACGACTCAAGACTCAAGGGTTCAATTAGCATATTATTGAACCCAAACCAATCAACTACACTCCGATTGCCCTTCGCCAATGTCTTCCCAATCCCATTTCCTAAAAACATGAGCACCATCGTCTTCTTCGACGCCTCCACATGACGTTCTATGCTACCATTATAAGCGGGTAAATAAAAGAGAGAAAGAAATGAGATTAGAAGACACTTACCATTATAACATATTTGCCCTAGAATTTCTCGTTATTCAGGGAGTACGGATAAATATTTTTTGGGTTTACAGTTAGTATTTCGAGTGTATAGTTTATATGGTCGTTTTTATAGAATTTGAGCACGAGGGGTCATGGATAACTATTGTGAAAGGTTTCTTTCTTCTGTGCTATAATCTATAGACAACTCTTCTAATTTATCCTTTTTTCCATAATTTAATTTTTAGTAGCGGGGTCTCGTCTAGAACAATGTGTATCGCCAACGAGACACGGTCGGGTCCAAATAGAAAAAAAAAAAAAAAAAAAAGGTTTTGCTATCAACACGTTTATTAAAGAGTAAATTATGTCAAAATTCTTTTAAATATATTTTTTAATTCACATTCATATATTTTCATACAATTTTATATAAATAACATTATTGGCGGATGGTGATTAACATCTCTTTTACAAATATATTACAGCAATATCATTTTTTTTGAATTTTTAAATAAAAAATTTGTGTATTTAATATTTTTTTATTAGTAATAAATCTGGGTGATAGGATTCGTAAAATTAATCAGCTTATTTGCTTTGGATTTTGAGGATTTACTTTTTAGAAAATTGAAATTTTTTTATTTTCTGTATTTTTTTGTTTTCACTAAATGTTTTTAATATTTTAAGCTTTTTTTTTTAAATTTTTAGATTCACCTAACATAAATACACTTAAAAATTATAATATTCGTAATTTTTTTTATAGAAAATTCACTAAATACAAAGATACAAAAAAATAAAAATAAAAATGAGAATTCAGTACATTTTTCGTATTCTTGTGTATTTATGGATTTTTTAAAATATTTATTTACAAATATTTTACTTTTTAGATACATATAAATAAAGTGCATATAAAATAGTAAAAAAATTGCTTAAAATTTTAAAAATATTCACTAAAAATTAAAAAAAAAAACTCAATTTTTAGAAAATTGAATACAGAAAATTAAAACCAAACATGCTAAATACTTCTCTAGTTGGGATATCTAAATAGACAGTCTAGTCTAGCTCATTGTGGGTCCAATTTAAACTTGTCTCGATAATCTAAATCATTAATTTTATAAGGCTATTTGAAAAAAAAATCATGCATACAAAAAATCAGGTCTATCACAAGCGCACCATTTGATTGGATCACATTGTCTATTCATTAATTATTTCTCAAACAAATAAGTTCTAATTAAATGATTCTCAATATTTGATCGACATGATTTTTAGTAATCATAATCTTTGTAAAGGGTCTTACAAAATTAACAACTTAAATTATCTAGATAGTTTTCGAATGAGGCTACAACTGGCTAGACTGGACTGTCTGGTTAGATATCTCAACTGGAGACAATTTAATCGCTACATAGAATATGACAATATAAATTTTAAGTGTTAAGCTTCTCTCATATTCATATCTCAACATAAGAGAACTTGAGAGGATTGTAGAGCCCACCACATGTTTTGTTTTAATAATCTAAACCATTTATATATTTAGGACTCATTTGAGTAGAATATTTATACAAAAAATAAAAATGATTAGATATCGATACTTGTACGTTTGAATCAAATTTGTATCACAAAAAATGAATTGTTATTCTTGAAATTATGGCCTTTTTTGGCACAGAGGTTAAAAGTTACTTTTTGGCTTATAATCTCTTTTGGATCAAATCAACTCTCTATTTTTTTTACAAGTTTTTTAAACAAAGTTAAAAAACCCAAAAAAAAAAAACTAACTTTAAACATACTTTCCAAAAACAATCCTATGTTTGTCATTCATTTTGTTAAAACAAATATAATTCAAACATATAATTACGAGTTTGGAGTTGCTACGCAGCAACAAATGTTGCACACTTTATTGGGTCCGTTTTAGGGTCTAATTCGATAATCTAAACTGTTCACATTTTAAAAGTTATCAAGTAGAATATATCAGTAAAAAATCAAGTCAATCAAATATCGTTGGCTCTTTCATCAAATCACATTTGCATTGAGTTTTATATTTCAAATTACATTTTTCTTTTTAAAAAAAAATACAAATGTGATTTTGATGAAAGGGCCAACGATATCCGATTGACGTAATTTTTTACTGGTATATTATATTCGATAACTTCTAAAATGTGAATGGTTTAAATTATCGAATTAGGCTCTGAAATGGACCCAATGAACGTGCAACGTGGGCAGCAACAACCTCAAACACTATTGCTATCGATATTTAACCATCTTTATTTTTTGCATGAATATTATACCCAACGAATCTAAAAAGATGAGTAGTTTGGATAACGAGATCGGTTCTAAAATGAATTTACTAAATCCAAATGGTTTATCATATTGAGATAATAACTTAAGGAAAGCTAAATCCAAATTCAAATTGTAATTATTGGAGTAATAATATTATTAAAATTGAAGGGGGCAAAAAAAAAAAAAGAAAAAGTTGAAAACATGTGAGAGACAAGCTGTACCCTTCGTGGAAACCAGAACAGGACAGAACTCCCTCATTTTTAAGCTAACAAGTCTCACTCATAACTGAAAGATCTCTCTCTCTCTCTCTCTCTCTCTCTCTATACTTCGTACATATATATATAGATTTATTCTATATATGCCCTAGTTGAAGTACTAGTGTTAGTTATATCTTTGCCTGAATCTGAAGCTTCTGGTCCATGGAGAGTGGTTTTTGTGCAGCTAGAACCGACGCCTTCCCGGCCGGTCTCCGTGTTCTCGTCGTCGACGATGATTTAGTCTGGCTTCGAATCCTCGAGAAGATGCTCAAGAAGTGTTCTTATGAAGGTTAATTAATAATTACCTCTCCATGCAATTCAATTTTCTTTGCTCATGCTTCAATTGATCGAACTACACTAAGTGAAAATATTGAATTTTGATGTCTTTGCTTCTAATTGTCTGTGTTTTATGATATATATGTTTTAGTTATATGAATTGTCTCCTAAATAGGCTTCAATTTATCGGCATAATAAGGCTATTTCTAGTGAATTTGAAGACATTGAGATTGAGATAGTAATCGAAAAGTCATGTTTATCTGGATATTGTTGTTTGTATTCTTACAATTGTATTGTTTGTTTGTGATTATGTTTTGCTGCAAATCTAATTTGAAGATAAAAGAATATAGTCGGATGATGATTTTTCCTCCCCTAGAATTTACATACAAAATCTAAGTGAGATTAATGTTTAATTCATCACAACCATGGCATACTGATTGTCTTATTAGCGTAGGAGTTGCTAATGATGAATTCATTTTGTTGAACACCGGCTCCTCTGTAGGGCCTTTTGCTTTTCCCTGGTCTAAGTTTTTCAATTTCCAAGAAAATAATTTAATGGAATATTCTGGTGTGAATAACAAAGGCTATTAGTTACGAGTGGTTTGGGGGTTAAAATACTATGCTGCCTCTTCTCACTGAATTCCTTTAAAATTGTCAGACAACATGCAGACAAGGTAACGGAGTTAAAAAGACATACAATGGTCTTTAATTCATCCACTATGGGGTTTCTAGGATGGGCATGGAGGGGGTGTAGGATTAGATTGGAAGAAGGGTCTTTATTCATGCGCTGGCATGTGTTCTCTTGAAAGAAGAAATATACCTAGTAGAACATGTGTCTTTTGTTTTTGGTGTTTGTTTTGTGGATCACAATTATTTAAAAAAAAAAAAAAATCTTTATGGAATTTAAAAATAAGAAATGCAGTTACGAATGACAAAATTTAGAAACCATGTTAAATGCAGTTATGAATGACAGAATTTAGAAACTATGTTATATCACTGATTTGCATGGGTGAAGGTAGGATTTTTGGGGTCTGAAACAGAAGTGAATGTATATAACAGCTCATGAAAACCATATCAGTTGGATTCATAAACAGACTTCAGCCATTGCAAACTAAACTCAAACACAGTTAATTCATACCTGGTAAAACCCAAGCCTTTCCTAAGCCACATTGAAAATCCATTCCCCTCTCCCCTACCAAATAAAAGGACATAAGTATACCTTATGTTGGTGAATCATTGCTTTCTACACAATCTTCATAGGCATGCGGTCCTTTACGATATGGGAGTCAAGCTTATCATTGTGCTTCTTTATAGATTGATCAATTCAGGATATCACAACCTTTTCTTTGGTTTGGAAATGCTTGATCTTGGTTATCAGACAGCATCCTTGATCTCAAAGGATGTGGTGGATTTTCTTTCCTTGTCCTCATATTGTTGCTGTTTGTTCTCAAATGATCTTCGTTGACAGGATAGCTTTGTTTCTTTCCTTTTTTTTTTTTTTTTTTTTTTTCTTTGACAACACTGAATGTTTTTACTTACCGGCATTTTTTTTTTTATAATTTTTTTCCTGTTGTTTTTTTGAGTGTTTCAGTTACTACATGTTGTCTGGCAAGAGAGGCTTTGGACTTACTTCGTGAAAGAAAAGATGGATTTGACATTGTAATCAGTGATGTCAACATGCCCGACATGGATGGTTTTAAGCTTCTTGAGCATGTTGGCCTCGAGATGGATCTTCCTGTCATTAGTCAGTATGCTGTGATTAACATTTGAACCTTTGTCCTGATTGCTAAATTTACTTGTCCACTAAATTTTTTATCTTTGCAGTGATGTCTGTTGATGGAGAAACGAGCAGGGTAATGCGAGGTGTCCAACATGGTGCATGTGATTATCTTCTTAAGCCCATAAGAATGAAAGAACTTCGTAATATATGGCAGCATGTCTTTAGAAAAAAAATACATGAAGTGAGAGATATTGAAAATCTAGACTGCTTTGAAGAAATTCAGATGATGAGATATGGAACTGACCAATCTGATGATGGACACTTGTTCAGTGGAGGCGATCTGACTTCAGGAAAGAAAAGAAAAGATGTTGAAAACAAGGGCGACGACAAAGACTTCAGTGATGCTTCTTCTGCAAAGAAGGCTAGAGTAGTTTGGACTGTGGATCTGCATCAGAAGTTTGTAAAAGCTGTAAATCAGATTGGATTCGATAGTGAGTTTATTATGACCCTTCCTTTAAAGTGGCTTAGTCTTTATATGATTATTGTGAATCAGAAATTCTATGGTTTTTATTTTGTACTTGTAATAGTTGTTTGTCATCTAAGTGGTTTTAAGTGATTTTCAGAGCTTGTTTGGGGTGTGCTATATAAGCACACTTTTTATCTTTTATCTTTTTTGGGTGACATCACCTCTCTACTTTTCTGTACATCTTTTCGTAAAAAGTCAAAAAGTGCACTTATTTAGATCATCCTTAGTTAGAAGGTGATGAGTTTCATCTCTGTTTGGCAGAAGTTGGTCCTAAGAAAATTCTTGACTTGATGAACGTACCATGGTTGACAAGAGAAAATGTTGCTAGCCACTTGCAGGTATCATGTTCTACATATACTAGCTGGAAATAGTTATTGATTTAAGGACGCGTTTTTAATAAATAATACATTTTGAGGCAGGCATAAGGCCAGTTAGCCAAAGCAAGGTCCTTTGCATATGAATAATTATAAATTATAAATATATAACAGATATGTTTTGACATTCCCATTTTATCTATTTCATATATTTAGATCCTGGTTAGTGGTGGCAGGGGATTTCAGTGTTGGGGGTTTAACAATCTGTTCTATATTTGTGAGTAAACTTCCAGTAGTTGTGTCTTGTGATAATAGTTTTTGTGTTTCCTCTTAATTACTTGATATTATCAATTCTCGTATTTTATATGAATGCCTTCCTAGTTCCACTTATGTCATTTTTAAGTAGCTTCTACTACTAATCACACAAACTATGATAATTCCACACTAACTCTATAGACGACCTCTTTTTCTCCATTCCAGCAAGCTCATTTGAATTTTAAAAGAAGCACAAACACATCTGGAAGCACATATCTGATTATCAGATGTCTTTGATGAAATATAATTAAAAGCCATATGTTCAATAATCACTGTAAAGTTCACAAAGAGTTCTTTTCATTTTGCAGAAGTACCGCCTCTACTTGGGTAGGTTACAGAAAGAAAATGAGGTAAAAGCTTTTCTGGGCGGGATAAAGCAATCAGATCTATCTTCAAAAGACCCTGTTGGAAGTCTTGGCCTTCAAAATTCAATTGATTTGCAACAAAACGATGTTCCTAGTGGCATCTATGGAGTACCAGGCAATAAGATTCGTGTTCAGAATGTTGATCCGAAAAACCACGAGGGTGATCTGAAAGGTATCGTTTCATTGCCACTTATAGAACCCAAGAAAGCTCCGATTCATGATATTCCTGATCCTCCAAAGACCTGCAGTTCAAGGGTGGAACTCAATCATTTATTTCGACCACTGGAGCCAGATATAAAGTATATACCATTTGATTCTACCATCCCAACACAGTATTCTTGGAGTGAAGTTCCCGAAATTCAGTTCAAACAAGAGCACAAGGCACACCTTCAGTTAAAGAATGGCTTCAACCATCTCCCACTGCCTCCATCTATTAGTCCCAGACCTTTTAACAAAGAGAGAGAAAAACCAGCACGCGTTGAAGTTAAGCCTTCCTATGCCGATTGCAAAAGACAACAAATAAGACAAGCAGGTCCAACAAGAAGTGCAGCCAACTTGCTTCCTGTTCAATCTGAGAGCCATATGACCAGTTTTCATACTTCCGAGCCAATTGCCACTACTACATTGAGCTTGAAGAATCATGGGTTAAATCAGATTTTCTTAAATGACCTCGAATCTGCCCAAAAAAACCTAATTTTGGGAAGTTGTTCAGGTTTTGGATCTTTGGATGAGGACGGACTTGCTTGTTTGCTTCGAGGTGACTGTCATACAACGATGAATGTTGGAATCGAGAACAGAGAATCTGTGTCCTTAGCTGAAACTCCAGCATACTTGTTCGATGCACAGAGATTTGACCATGAGTATCCTTGGGAATCGATGGAATATCCTGTGATAGATCAAGGTCTATTTATCGTCTGATCGATCCATATCTTATATGAAGAAAGGTAACTTGCTATTTTCTTCCATTGACCTGATATGTTAGTGAAGTATTTCGCATGATGGATTGAGATATGCTCTTCCCAAACAATTTGGGTGTGGAATGTGAAATACCATAGGATAGGAGTGATGGAAAAAGCATGCACAATAAGCAAGCTTCTTGGAGCACTTAGAATAGGTGAGAGATGCCTATGTATCATATGTTACATGTCTGTGTGTCTGTTTTGTATGTTTGTTTGCACATATTAATCCTTGCAAATTTTGTAAAACAGATTTGCATTGAGCACAGGGTGTGCCTTGAGACAGCTGATTTTTAATGTGAATCACATCACTTTTTTTGTCCCTGCTAAGTGCTAATTCCCATTTGAGAAACCTTAGACAGCATAGCAAGTAAAGAAACAAAAGGTCTCAAACTAACTTGATGGTGGCCTTGAATACATGTGTGTGTGTTTGTGTGTGTTATAAGTTTTTGGTGGAAATAATCTGTCATTTTTATAAGTTTTTGGTGGAAATATTCTTAGACTCGGATCAACATTGAATGAACAATCCTGATGCCTTCATCTTAAGATGGTTTGAGAATTTGGTCAGCAAAGAATCACCATCTTGTTTGGTTTTCAAAACGAGTGGTGCTATACAAACAAACACATTTGACAAATTTAATTTACTCACTGATGTGGCATGCTTTTATTGGTTAAAAAAAAAACTGTGGAGCACACAAATTTTATGAGATCAATACTTTTTAGATAGTGCGTAAATTCAGTTTGTATAATATGTGCGTTTGTGTAGCATTCCTTTCAAAACTAACTTTTTTGATATTTTGGCAAATTTTTATTACTTTTTAGATATACTTAAAAATAGCAACAATGATAGGTAGTCTGAAAAATCATGACTCGAATGGCTCAAAACGACGTCGTTTTGGCAAAATGACGTCGTTTTGATACATTCGAGCTACAAAAATTTGGGCCACCAAACATTTTTCAAAAAATAAAATATTTGTATTTTTTTTTTTTTATAAAAAAAACAAAGAACATAAGGGTAAAATGGGAGTTAAAATAAAATAAATTGATGATTTCAACAAAATATGTTGGTTTTGCTAACAGTGATATTTAAAATTAAACTTGAAGTGATGCTAGTATCATTTCAAAAGCTTGTGACAAGTTTCCATAATTGTTATATAAATTGTTATTTATCTTTTCATTTTCATTTCGAGGCAAATTATTTTTAAGAATTTCATCAAGTCCATTAACATTTTTGAAACGAAAAATGCTATACATAAAAAAAAAAAAAAATTATATATTCATTTTTTTTTTTTTAATACCAAATGATATGTCTTATTTATAACTATTCATTGACAGTCAAAATCTTCATCATTGTATCATTTTAGTCTTAAATTTTTATTTATTTATTTATTTTAAAGGAAAGCCTTCAATTCTATTTTTTTCTTTTTTTTTTCTTTTTTTTAAACATGATGTAAATAGAGTGGGACCTACAAAAAAAAAAACAACACCCAGGGCCGTGTCTTCGATTCGATTTGAAATTAAAGAAAGTGTACACCATTATTACCAATTACGCAAGACACCGAGTTGGGAGTTGGGAAGAGATAGTAGTGGATGTTGAACTTGGTACTTCAAAACAAAGATGGGCAGTCCCATGACACAATCCCTTCAACTTATTAGGCCCAACTCAGGAGAATTTTTTGTGTGCGAGTGGGTTTGCGTGATATTATATCCTATTAATTATAAATGTATATATTTTTTATTATTTTTTAAAAGGATTTTTTTTAAGTGTGCCTTGCATATGGTATGCAAGGTACTTACATCTTTCTATGTTACCTTTACACCTTTTTGGGTACAGCAATGCTAGGTGACTATAAATTCTGTGGCTCAAATGGTTCAAAACACCCAAAACGATGTCGTTTTAGGTGCAAAACGACGTTGTTTTGGCAGTTTCGGGTCATTTGAGCCATAAAATTTGTAGCCACCAAACATTTTCCTTTTGGGTATTGAGTTATACCCAAATATTTGAAAACTAACACATAATACTTGCTAACAGGTAAATGAATAAAAGAATATATTATATGACTAAAAGTGTAATTTTGTCAGAAAAGGTGTAAATAATTTCACAAAATGTGTAAATTTTCGCAGAAGGCGTAAATTTTAACAAAAGGCCTAAGTAATTTTAGAAAAAGGCATAAGGGATTTTTGAAAATTTACACCATTTGGAAAAACTTACTGCTTTTGTGAGAATTTACACTTTTTGTGAAAGTTCTTACACTTTTCTGACAACTTACAACTTTTGTAAAATTGCTCACCAAAAGCGTAACTTTTGACAACTTACACATAATACTTACATCTTTTGTAAAACAAATTATACCTTTTGTCGAAGTTACACCATATATGGAACATTTTATTTCATAAAATTTTGACAACTTACACATAATACTTACATTTTTTGTAAAACAAGTTATACCATTTCTGAAAGTTACACCATATGTGAATGACAACTTACACATAACACTTATATCTTTTGTAAAAAAAAGTTATACCTTTTCTGAAAGTTACACCATATGTGAAAAATTTTATTTCAAAAATTTTTGACAACTTACACATAATACTTACGGCTTTTGTAAAACAAGTTATACTTTTCTAAAAGTTACACTATACGTGAATGACAACTTCCACATAATACTTACATCTTTTTTAAAACAAGTTATACCTTTTCTAAAAGTTACACCATATGTGAATAACAATTTACACATAATACTTATATCTTTTGTAAAATAAGTTATACATTTTCTGAAAGTTACACCATATAAATTTTAGTAAAAGATATAAATTTTACGATTTTTTTTTTCCACAAAAGATATAAGTGACTTCAGAAAAAGGTTTAAGTTGGGCTTTCACAAAAGGTGTATGTTTCAAGAAAATATATAAATCTTGTGACAAAAATTCTTTCACAAAAGGAGTAACTTTTCCGCTACGGTGTAAGTATTTTCATGAAAAGGTGTAAGTTTTAGAACATGTGTAAATTTGATGATTTTTTTTTCCCACGAAATATATAAGTGACTTGAGAAAATTGTTTAAGTTTGGCTTTCACAAAAGGTGTATGTTTTAAGAAAAGGTATAAATCTTATGACAAAAATTCTTTCACAAAAGAAGTAACTTTTCGGCACGGTGTAATCATTTTCACGAAAATGTGTAAGTTTTAGCAAAATGTGTAAATTTGATGAATTTCTTTTTTCACAAAATATATAAGTGACTTGAGAAAAATGTTTAAGTATGGCTTTCACAAAAGGTGTAAGTTTCAAGAAAATGTATAAATCTTATGAAAAAAATTCTTTCACAAAAGGAATAATTTTACCGCAGCGGTGTAAGTATTTACACAAAAAGGTGTAAGTTTTAGCAAAATGTATAAATTTAATGATTTTTTTTCCCACAAAATATATAAGTGACTTCAAAAAAATGTTTAAGTTTGACTTTCACAAAAAGTGTAAGTTTCAAGAAAAGGTATAAATCTTATGACAAAAATTCTTTCACAAAAAGAGTAACTTTGCCGCAGCGGTGTAAGTGTTTTCACAAAAAGATGTAAGTTTTAGCAAAATGAGTAAATTTGATGAATTTTTTTTTTTCACAAAATATATAAGTGACTTCAGAAAAATGTTTAAGTTTGGCTTTGACAAAAGGTATAAATTTAAATAAAAAGTATAAATTTTATGGAAAAAGTAATTTCACAAAAGGAGTAACATTTTAAAGTGTTCATAAACACAAAAGGAGTAACATTTCAAAGTGTTCATAACCACAAAAGGAGTAATACTTCAAAGTGTTCATAAACAAATTGGGACAACCACTGAACAAATCAAAGGGTTCGTGACCCCCGCTGACCACCCGAGCGTCGGTGGCCTCCGGTGCTCACTGCCGTCGCTACCTCCACGGCCACGGCCACTTCCACGGCCACCGCCGCCGCAAATCAAAGATTTTTTTCTCTCTGGCTATCGATCTTGGTCTCTCTCTGTCAATGTCGGTCATCGATGTTGGTCTTTCTCGGTCTGTTTCTAGCGCTCTTGGTCTGTCTGTGTCCATGTGGTCTCTTCTCTGTCGATCTTTGTCGATTCGGTCCCTCTCTGTCAATCTCGGTCTGGCTGTCTCTGTCGATTCGGTCTCTCTCTGTCGATCTTGGTCTGGCTGTCTCTGTCGATCACGTCCATCTAGGTCTCTATCTATTGATCTCAGTCTATCTCTCTCTGTCTGTCCGTTGCTCTATATTTAAAACGGTTCTCTTTTACATTGACATTCTTCGTTGGATTTGGACTTGGAGTCGCTATTCCAAGCCCTCCCAAACTTGTCTTCTCTGAAACGGACTTCTACTGAGAGAAAGACCAAGCCCTCCGAAACGCCCTTCTCTCTCACATTGCCATTATTTGAAGAAGACAAATATAGTTTGATTGGATTTAGGAACTTACAAGTTTTGCGAAGTTACTTACATCTCCCGTGAAAACACTTACACTATTTGTGGAAGGTTAAACATTTGTGAAATAATTTATTTTTTAAAATTTACACATTTTCGTTGAAATACTTAAACCTCCTGTGAGAAGTATCTTTGGTGGAAAAAAAAAAAAAAAATTTGATGAAATTTACACATTTTGCCTAAACTTACAGTTTTTCGTGAAAAAACTTACACCGTTGCTGAAAACTTATCCTTTTGTGAAAGAATTTTTGTAATAAGATTTATACCTTTTATGAAACTTACACCTTTTCTGAAAGCCAAACTTAAACCTTTTTCTGAAGTAACTTACATTTTTTGTGGGAAAAAAAATTCGTAAAATTTATATCTTTTGCTAAAATTTACACCTTTTCGTGGAAGTGCTTATATCTTTTCTTAAAAGTTACTCATTTTGTGAAATGATTTTGAAATTATTGTAAGTTCAAAAGGCGCAGGTATTATGTGTAAGTTGTAAAAAAATTTACATCTTTTGTAAAATAAGTTATACCTTTTCTGGAAGTTACACCATAGGTGAATGACAACTTACACATAATACTGATATCTTTTATAAAACAAGTTATACATTTTCTGAAAGTTACACTATATGTGAAAATTTTTATTTCATAAAATTTTGTCACTTACACATAATACTTACATCTTTTGTAAAATAAGTTATATTTTTCTGAAAGTTACACCATACGTGAATGACAACTTACACATAATACTTACATCTTTTATAAAACAAGTTATAACTTTTCTGAAAGTTACACCATACAACTTACACATAATACTTACGCCTTTTGAATTTTTTGACAACTTACACATAATATTTACGCCTTTTGAACTTATAATAATTTCAAAATT